CACTTGCTTTGATGTCATTTTAAAATCTTATATGTATTTTTGATTTGAAAATAATTTCATGGATAGCTAGGAAACTAAAAAAGTTTTGTTAAAATTTTTTTCACCTATTACTCATTATTTGTCATGAGGGATAAATTCCCAAGTTTATGCGTATAAGTTGAGAATCGCCCTGTATAATGTTTATTTTGAGATGAAATGATTTCATGGCACATAATTAGTCTTCTTTAATCATCATAAGAATTAGTAGAATTTTAGTAGTATTGAACTGATCAATCAAAAATATGATAGGTTTATCTATTATTTGATTTTATTTGGCAAAACTTTTTATGTATAATTTTATTTCTAATTCTATTTAAACCATATATTTATTTTTTTTTTCTAGTGGATTGGTCAATGGAAGATAAAACAACCCTTTTATATGCATTAAGAAAACATGGAGTCGATATCAGTAAGATCTCTGAAGAGCTCCCATTCAAATCCATTAACGAAATCCGCACAAAAATCAACAAATACGAAAATTTAGCTCTACAATCATTAGGAAGCGATGCAAAAAAGATTGAAGAAGCCCCATTGGATCAATGGATCAAGATTTTGCGTCAACAATCGTCCAGAAACGGGCACAATCTTATTTCAAGAGTACTAAATTATATCGCTTTGTTTGAACAAAGACAAGAAAGTCCAGTTAATTTAAAGTATTAATTTTATATTTTTAAGAACCATGAATTTATTAATTTCTGGTTTAATCTTTTAGGGATTGTTATACAGTATTGGCAGATTTAACTGGTGGTAAACCTTCAAAAGAACTTGACGTAGAAACAACTTATTTTTTAAATGAGTGTTTTTCGAAGTTAGCAAAAGAAGTTAAAAGCGAAGATACAAAAGATAAAGTGAATTTTTTGGAGTCGTTGGAATTTCCTGATGTTAAAAGTAACATAAGTTACCAAAGAAAGACTCCTAGTGAAAAATTTTCGTGGAATAATGATACTAATGTATGTAAAGTACCTTTAAAATTGTTAAAAGAGTAAGTTGATTAAGGTTAGGTTAGAAATAAAAATAACAATTCAATCATATCACAATTTAATTCTTTCACCCGCTTTACAAATTATTACAATATAACGTGATATGCTAAAAACTCGAAATACACATGAGGAATGTTTTTGAACACAAATTATTATGATAATCCGTAATTTTGTGGTATGTTTTTGTCTCTACAGAATGTTCTAAATCATCCGTTTATTATTCGAAATATATTATTTGGTTGAATTAGATAAAAATGAGATTTTCATGTATTTTGTCTAATTTCACCAAGATTAGTTTTAATCAGTTGCCAGTATTAATTGATTACTTAAAACATTCTGTATTTAATTGTTTTAATAATAAAAGGTTACTCTTTGGAAAATATTTGTACTTGCACGTTTGATTCATTTTTTTTTTCAATTATAACATATTCCATAATTCCTCTGAGCCATTTACAAACAGATGACACAAATATATTGTATTTTTTCTATTCTCTCTATGTACATTTATAAGAAACAATTACAAATATATAACGTGTACGTAATTGAATATATTTTATAATTTATTTATCTTCTTTTTTCTTCTTCATTTTTGTAGTTTTTTCCCACCTATATTCGATATTATTTAACACGGATATGATTGAAGAGAATTATTGAAAGATTTTAATGAAAAGTTTATTTTTTGATAGAGAAAGAGATTTAATATCATCATTTTTTTTAGATCTCCGCGATTTATATTTTTTTTGTAACTACACGTAGGAATAAGATTCTTGAAATGTACGGTTTGAAGAATTAATTATGAAGTTTTTTTTTAGTGCATCACGGATTGTCGATTTGCAAACATTAATATTTTATTTAATGATTAAAGTTCACTGGGAAGGTATTTTTATGACTACAGATTAATTATTAAGTGTTTTGTTATTTATAGATATTTACAGATCTTTTTTTTTGATATAAAGAATTTTATTTTTCTTAGTAAAGGAATTGATTTGGGCAGATAAAATATTGTGCGTTTTTGATTGATAAAAATAAAAAGAAAAACAAGTTAAAAAAAATTGATATGTATGTTAAGATAAAAAATGTCCATTTCTACCTAGCCAATTCCTTTTATAAATTATAAGTATTTTTTAAATAACAATGAGTTTCATAATATCGATTTATTTTAAGACATGAGAATATAAGTCTTTTTTAATGATTTGTTATAGGGTGTCTCAAACACTTCGTTCGTTTTTCGATATCAGGTATAAATAAAATTTTGAAATATTTTTGTAAATATATTTTTCGTTTCCAGGTTTGTGAAGAGTCGCAAGAAACAATGTTGTAATGCCTTTTCTTAAATTAATTTTTTCATTTTCTTGCATTGAATGCTAGGTGAAGAAGTAATGCCAAAATAAGAGATTAATTGTAGCGCTGAGAGGTTTTAGAGTATGAGATTGGTGTGAATCAAAATGGTTCCAACTCACTAAAAATATCTTTGGAATATTTCGGCGCTGCCAAGCCAAAACGGCATCAACAACATTTACTTGATTTTCCAGGTAACACAAAAAACTTTCATCACGTCCTAATGAAAGAGGCATTTATGGATGCAGATTTAAAAATCTTGTTCAACAGTGTAGCTAAGTAAAAAGTGACCGTTTGGTGTTTATACTGTTTGGCTTGGCAGCGTCGATATTACGAGGATGAAACATTTAAAGGAATTGATTTTGATGTTTTTGTAACATTTTAAAGATTCCATGAAATAAAAAAGTTATAAAGTTTGGTGGTGTGTGAAATACTATTAATTGATTGCGAGCATCTTCATGTTATTCGACGAAGACAAGACAGGTTAATAACTTTAAAAGAGATGTTTTCCAAAAATTGCAAGGTTTCAAAAAAAAACAGAAAAAGCTGAATTTAATATAACATCGATGGACTTTACGGCAATTTTAAAGGGAATAACGGGAATTAATTAAGTTAGATTTCTTCTTCAATCGAAGAGGTCGAATACGATTGGAGGAACCTTTAAGTCAACTCCAGTTACATGCTATCTCTGGTAAGAAACTTTGTACAGGTTGAAAGAATAAGTTATGGGACACCATGCGGAAGTGAACAATCAGAAATTGTACAAATATGCTTAATTAAATTCAAGAAATTATAAAACCAACCTTAAGGGGTTTCGAATTGATCACGCATGGAATATTGCAAATCTCATACTAAACAGGAATGTATGGAAACCAATAGCATTTGAATTATATGTATTATTATTACGTGGAATACTTTTATACTCACTAGTGTTAGTTTGTCAAACTACAGCATTTGCACAATATCTGGCAAGTAACTCTTCATCCTGTATTACGATCGCTAGGGATGGATAATTTCCCGTATTAGCATTCATAACGAAGTTACTCGATATTGGCACATCAAATATTGTAAACTTCAACAACAAATGGGTAATCAATTTATAGCTTTTGTGATCACACATAATATTCATATTGGTTGCATCATAGACACCTTTTCAGTATGGAGGATAGACATTTTTGAACAGGCAATGAGGCATCATATTCAAAAGGAAATAAGTAGTAATAATCAAAAAGTAGCGCATCGCCTAAAGTTAACATAAATGGATATAGCCTAGAGATAGGAGTAGAAATAGAAGAATATACGGTCTGACGTCAATAAAGAAATTATAGTAATATTCGGATACTCATAATGAAATATAAAATTGACAGAAAATGACATGAGAAAAATTTGAAAGTAGTAATACGGATGAGATTGTCATGGTAAGAGTTGTTCCACTTACAGAGGGAAGGGGTAGAAGGAAGAGACTGCCATGACATAAAAGGAGCTTTCCACAGAAGAGGAAGATTGAAAAGAAACTGAAAATGGCGGTTAGAGACTGAAAAGAGAAAATGTTGTGGTAAATTGAGTAGAAAAAGCGAAATCTTCCTCTATGTATAGAGGTGAACAAAAAGAGAACGAGTGGAGAGAGATTGCTAATGGCAGAACAGGACTAGGGTAGAAAGAAAAGTAACTGGTAAAAGAAGAACAGCTGCAAATAAACTAAAACGAATTTGGAGAAAAACTGGAAGGAGATTGTTTGAAGAGAAGATTGAATCTGGGCATAGAGGAGGAAGAAAGGAAAGTGGAAAAATAGTCTTATCAGAAAATGAGACTGGAGAGAGGTTGGGTAACAGAAGCAAAAGACAGAAAACGACTGCAAATGAAAAATCGAATTTGTAGACTAGGCAAGGAGACCGCTAATAGAAGAAAGAGATTGGAACGTGGAAAAAGAGACTGGGCAGAAACGATGAAAATTGGTTAACAGGTCATATTCGAAGATTACCACTTTAATTGCAAAATATTAGAAGAGGTATTTTCAGATTTAATGTTTGATTTCTCTTCATCTGTACTTGATTCGGAAAAGTTTTTAATAAAACATTTATATCATTGTGTTTTACATTTTAGTGAAGAGATGTATACATATCGCAATATCTGTAGAAGTTCCCGTGCCATGGTACTACTCTTATGACAGATAGTGACAGAAGACAAACTCGCTTTTGTAGCCCATGTCGTGTATTTTCCACCTTTATTTCGATTTTCCAAATAAATAGCTTGTGCCAGCCGAGAGATTGTTCACTGATGGTGATATTCTGTGACAAGGTTACCACTAAATTTACTTTTTTCTCCGCTTTCAGGTTTTCCCTTCGTTACGTTTTTCCCATTTTGTTCAGCTGGAAATTTTCAACTATCATTTTTTATTACTCATCATGTAGTATTTACATACATTTTTAGAATTCAAAAACATTCCAAATAATATTGTTTTAACAATTGGTGCTTATACAAGAAATGTAGCGGTTTCCTAACAACGCTGTGAAGAAAATACAGATTTATTCTTTTATATTTGTGGTAATCTCACTGCTAGTAGTCACAACGCAAATAGTGATTTAGTTAAGAAGTTGTACTGCACTCAGCTTATGAATGAGTTATATTAAAATAAATAATTTAACGAAAAACTTATAACCTGATGTGTCATCTGCAGAAATTTCCGGGCAGAAGTTTTTCATTTCTGGTACCCCCCACGTTCGTTTTATGTACGTTATGTTCTATGATGTTTTTTAGTTGAACAAGTCTCTTCAGCTAAATTTTGCATGTCATGGTCGACTTTATTCAAAATGTATACTGACATGTGCCAAGTCTTGCAAGTAAAATACCATTTTCGGTAAAAACCCCTCTATTGGGGAAAAGATCCTTGTTTTCTTAAGCCCATCGATGGTCTTATTAGGGGTTACAACTGTTCAATACACATTACTAAAGAGTTCAGTAAAATGAAAAACGGACTTTTTTAAAGAGAATTATTAAGCATATATTAAAACATCCTCAGTTGTGGATGGAGCCAGCGTGAGCAATAATGGGAAACTGTTATTGCATCTATTGCTGTAGCCTGGACTAGTTGTAAGCTTCCATGATGCAATGTGTTTCGTGATTGTTGATTTTTAGCGAAATAAGATCTTCTCGAGATGCTATAGAGATATTAACATTCCTCAATACGGCTTTGGATTCAGAAGCAGAACTCATAATCGAGGAAGGTTGTAGAAGGAGATAGATGTAAAGTTATGAAATTTAACTACCATGACATCAAAAAGTACATCTTTAATAACCTGGTCAATATTAAGAGGAATCAGTGATGTAACATGTGGAGTAACTGTGGAGATATATAGGAAGTTGTTGGAATGTATTTTTTACACACATAAAACCTGACAAAAAGAAGTGTAGTACATCTGTAGTTGAAATAAATCTTTTCAGGGCTGCGACTCATAATGATCTAATCAAATCAGAATGTTATCAGGAAAGTACATGGGGAAATTGTTTTGGCATCTGGTAGCAAGATATGTTAGAGAGTAAATGAGCACTGCAAAAAGGAAATATTATTAAATATCTGATTATGATCATAAAAGCGTATCTTTCGGAGAGAAGAATTGTAAATAGCAATAGAACTCGAAGAAAAAATCTTGGAAGAAGACGAAAACTTGAAGAGGGTTGAAGGTGCTAATCCAGAGATGATGAAAGTACGGAAGCATGACAATCAAAATAAAAATGATCGAAATAAGTAAGTATAAAAAGGTCGAATATATGAGAGTCTGGAAGCGCATAGTAGAATGTGCGAGTTGTGATAAGGCAACAAAAGTAGTAAATATTTTAATAAGCTACTAACCTAGTTCTCTTAAATAAGATATGTAGAAATATGTTGGAAGTGGAGTAGATAGTAAGAGAAAGAAGTGTCTGCAGCGACAGTGTCAGTAGTAAAGTGAATTCACGGACTGATTACTGGAAGTAATAACCAAAGTATACGCAAACGGGAGACAACATAAAGTGGTAATACGAGAGAGATTAATGATAGCAGAAGTGAGACTATTGAATGAAATCTTTGATACTACCTATAACATCTTGGATAACGAGAAACTGGGGAGAAACGGATCAGTTCATAACAGAAGTTTTGAAATTAGTTGTGACTTGTTCGCACGTATGGAAGGTCGTTTACTAGTTTTCGTACATTAAACTTTTGAAATAACTCCAGATATTAGATATTTATATATAACTCGAGGTATGTTGGACGTCTTTGACGGCGATAATGGTAAGATAGCTGGTTCACTCTAATCCTTAATCAGATATTTATAGTGAAACGATGCGTATATCCGTCTTAAACGGTAACGTCAGGATCACGAAACGTGATTATTATGAAGATTAAGTATTTTATTTTTTGACCAACCAACTTCATCAATGAACCAATCACATGTCCTTGCTTGCTAATGCCAGTGAATGAACCAATGGGGGTTTGCATCTGTTGGATATGATGGGGTTGGGTTGGATTACAAGCGCACATGAAGCTATGGATATACTTCCATGAAACTTCTTTTGAAAGGAGCAAGTTTCTTGAAATTATTGGAAATAATACACCGACGACCGAGAAATGTTATAGCATAGAACATACCCAGTACTTGAATCCGCAATCATAGTAAATGGTACAAATTATACGAAATAAGCTGTCATAAAGTTAAAACAGGCATTAAATTAATGTTTTACTAGGATATACAATCAATGGCAATATAATTCGCAAACGGTTGATTTCCACACATATATTTATTAAGATTTTTACTTTATTTTCCATCGTATTAATGCCTTTAAAAATTTTAAACGCTATTTTAAAATACCCTGTACAAAGCCTTTTTCATTGTGAAAGTTATATTGATAACTTAAAAATCCTTTTCTTGTAACCAAATAGCCGAACATTTAAACTGATTTATAACATTTATCCAAGCCAAATAGATAACATAAGATTTACTAAACTATTCTGATAAGGGTAATAATTATAGTACAATAACATAAATCAACTTCATAATTGCTTCATTTCTAATAAAAATTGGTAAGAATTAAAAAAAAGCTAATCTGACATTGAAAAATGAACTTTAAATTTGACTTTTCTGTTTCCCTTAAAAACATCTTTATTCTCATGTCTAAAACATTGGTATATTCACCAGTTATTAAAAAGAATTCCATTCTTAATTAAAATTTAAAATTAAAAAGAAAAGTCTTCGATAATCACATTGAGCAAATAGCACAACCATTTTGGAAGGGAAATAAGCTGGAATCACAGTAAGTATTAAGGATCATAAAGGAGATCTATCTTGTGTAAGATTTTGGGGTACGATCGGTATATTAATTCGAAAGGAGTGTATCGTGCAGTTTCGAACAAGAACGGAAACACTTACATAGATGATGAAAACGTATACGACATGTACATCGACACCGATACAAGGTAAAATTTTTTGAAAAAATACTTTTCTGATAGAGCTATACATTTTTTTTTCTTCGCGTTCTCTTAATCGTCGATTTTTGTAACCACCTTTTTAATACTCTTCAAGTTATTTTCAGAGACGATTGTCAAAATGGTTATATTATAGATCTCTCGAGTACGTTTACTTACTTTTGTATATGTAATAGGGCACGATTTTCTAAATTCAGGCATGCTCAGTGCTTTCATCATCGTCAAAGACTTTTTAAGGAACAAGGATTGTTTTTTTTTAAATACACCAGTCCATCTAACGAATCTTTGGATGGGTTCTGTGCGTAGTTTTTGATTGTATTTAAGAAGACATTAAGGTAATTTACACACATATTGACAAACAAGACGTCCAACTATTTTTAATTTTATTATTTTTTTTGTTGAATATTTTGTTGTGGTATTTCGGGGTATACTTTGGTAGTTTTCGGGAAACTAAATAATGCGCAGTCGCTCGTGATTGTCGCTCTTTACTTCCTCCCCGGTTCACTGCTTTTTTATAACAACAATGAACATTATTATTTTAATCTCTGTGTGTATATCAGAACTTAAGAAACACATAGGCAAAAAACGGGAAGTGCTGTTAAAATAATCTGAAATGAGCTCAAATCATCAGCGCTTCGCTGGGGTTGTTACTGGCGTCCGGCAAACAGCTGATACTGGAAATCAAAAAATAATTAGACGGGGCTATTGGCAAGATCTTTTCATTTTTATTATGCACGTGTGTTTTTCCAATCTTCTACAAATTACTACAGTATACAGCAATTTTCTAAAGTAATAAAATAACAAGCATTATTTTGTTATCAGTTTAGAAAATTGATGTATTTAACAAAATCTAGATGACACAACATAGAGAAATAGAAAAATCTAACACATCTAATAGCAAGAAGATAGAAAGATCCACTCAGTATCAGTTGAAGCCAAGAAAACACAAGGTTAAAACAAAGACAATACATATGTTTCTATTTTTTAGTAGGTATTAAGTAAAAAAGATGTCACTAACTGTTCAATAGCCCCCGCAGGTTTTGATGAGATAGATAAATGGGTTGAAGTGGGTTTGTTAGGGTTATGGTGAATTTGATTGATGAGAGATTAGCGTAATATTCTTGGTGATGAGTGTTAATTTTTTTTGTTTTCTCAACGATTTGTGAGTGAGGGGAGAAGCAGGAGTTTGTGAGTGAGTAACTGAAGTGTTTTTTAATACACGAACGTCATACGTACGTACATTCAGCTAAATGTTATGTTCAGGGAGGGACATTTCCTAACCGTGCTACTAGTGAACACTCTGCCGTTGGCCGGTTGGTGTGAAGAGGTGAGTCTTACCATGCCGGAGCCCAGCTGTTGTAGGAGCCCCGACCCTTGGGAGCCGCCCAACACTACGGAGGGTCGTCTAGAACGGATGCTCTGCATACTGCTGCTCAGCAGAAACGGAACACTGCTACTAGTGTTTGGCATCGAACCTCCCTGAAAATGTTTATTTAGCAAATTTCTTTAATTACAAATAGAACGGTGTCTATTTTGTACTTTGTTACTAGTTCATTTCTGCATATTTTTCTAAGTGGTGAATAAAAAATTACTAAATAAAAAAAAATGATGCTGTAATAATAAAATTAGGCGTAAGTGTTTAGATCAGCAAAGAAATAAAATGTCTATTTAGTACAAGCTTTTCAAGCCGTACCGTAACTTACTAATTCAAGCCGAGTTACTAAAATGCCTATAAATGTGATAGTATGAGATGTGAATTGAAAGATAAGAGTATGATGTAGCGAAAGAATTATAAAAGCGTGATTGTGTTTAGATTTGATTTTTATTTTATTTTATTCTAATTTATTAATTTCTTTTAGAGAGGTTTATAATTATTGATTAACTTTTAAACACAAGTAAGGAATGGTTAAGTCTTAAGAACTTGTGTGAAAATTGTTTCAATTTTTATTGTGTATTTATTAGAGTAACTTAATTTGACCAAGAACTACTTTTGGGAAGTATCGCAACAGGTAACATTTGTTATATATATTTTTTTGTGTTTTATTTTAAAATTGCGGTGCCTATTAAAAATTGTTTACCTACATCTTTAGACAAAACAGATTAAAAACATGTTTTTGGTGAAACGCAAAAAAACCTTATATAGGTATTATTGGCATTATTTCTTTATTGAGGGCCTTTCTTAACCATGACACGATCATAGTATTTATGACAGTTGTACAGTGCGTTAATTAATTATCGTACGCGACAAAGTATGCAACCAGTATCACAGATTGGTATTGCAACGCGACGAAAGTTCCTAAAAACGATGACGACAATTAATTATCTTTAAAAGCCGTTTAAAAAATATTTAAATATATTTTAATAATTAAAAAAATATTTTAACATGTTCACGCATGCGTGCATCATCTCGACTGTCCCATCTCATTGACCGTTTTCGTTATATTAATTTCCTTATTGACTTACCACTTAAAGCAACCGTTAGAAACAACGATAATTCTAAAAAGAACTGTTTCGAAAAATATAAAGGCAGATAAAGACGGTTAAAGAACAAAGAAAATATGGAAACTCAAAGCGTACGACAATCACAACAATAATGTTCGATCAGCTGTCAACATCTGGTTACTAATTTAAAATTATCCAAGCTACCACTACATATTGAGATATGCAGCCAATATTACACAGGTCACGTGGGTTACGATAATGAATTAACACAGTGTATTCACTGTGTTAATCATCGTAGAAGATAAATTAGTGCAAAAGCGATACTTTTTTTTAGACACTGAATGTCTGTAACACAATTGTTCGAATGAACCATGAATGTATAGTAGAGGATATTTGTCAAAATGTTAAAGAAAAAAATACTGGAAAATTTGAAAATCATGGAGGAAGAGGTCTACCTTGTATAAAGATTATTTCAAAAACAGAAAATAGTTCTAGTTAATAAAGATGAAAGAAGTAATTACTGATGATAAGTATATCAAATTTTGAATGCCGAGTTAACAAATATAATATAACAATATTCATCATCTACAAAATCCGAAGAAACCTGCGCGGGTAGTGGATGCTGGGGAGATTTTAGTTGGTGGAGATCGGTTTTGTTTCCTTTTTTTTGTTCCACTGCACACATTGTACACGTAGATGGAGCGTGTGGAAATTTAGTTACAGTGTTAACTAGTAACTAGTACGCTCACAGAACGGCATAACTCATCATCATGCTCAGGCTTTAGAGACCGTTTGGTAGATTCTTCATGAAGATTTGAATTTTCATCAAAATTGCTGCAGTTTAAAAATTGCAGTGTCAAGATTTCGCCAGAAGTTAGGTTTTGCAATGTTAGGAATGATGAATAAAGATCCTGAAATGGTGTGTTGACCTTAGGCGAAGCCCACCTTAATGGTTTCGTTAACAAACAAAACTTTCGTTACTGGGCATAATCCACAAGAGAGTCATCAATAGCCCCGTCTCAGCCCAAAGGTAACGTCTTTGCTACAGTCTGTAAGACAGCTGTAGTAGGGCCCTATTTTTTAAGTAAAACGGCCATACTGTGACGATTCCTGCCGAGGCGATGACCACAGACGATCTCCTTCCTTAGCTACGTCGCCTGCAAATTCCTCTTCTGTTTTAGTAGGACGGAGCCACTGCGCACTCTTCACGTGCGTTTATGGCCAAACTAAGAAAATTGTTACCCGTGTAATTTTATCTGCGGGGTTATTTCATGGCAAAAGTATATGTTGATAAGTCTAATAATTTGGCAGAAATGCGAAAAAATATTCACTTGAAAATGTAAGCCATCTCAAGTCATTCCTTGGAAATAGTGAACTTAGCTAATATGTTTAAGCAGTACAGAGAAAATAAAGATCAACATTTTAGTGATGTCATTTTTGCTTAAGGATTTGTGGGTAGATATTCTTAATACCAGATTTTCCACAATGCCACATTATACATGCGGAATATACCGATGTGGTTACTATTTATTTATCTCCATTGGAGGAATATAGTGGAAGATTTCTTAACTGAAAGATACATGATCCTCAAGTTAACTCACCAATGTGAGATTCCCACGGTATATAAATTTGCACGAAACATTCAGTTATTGCTCAAATGTCAAAATTCAAGTATATTGACGACTAATATAAGATCGAGTGTGTTGCTAAAGTTATTTTTATGGTGATTTAATTGGTAAAAATTTTTGGCACATTAAGATATTTCCACATTGGAAGTAGTCTTAGAAACAGTAACCAAGTTTGCTCCACATCAAGTTCTCGAGTCATTATTATATACGAGTTTTCGATCTACGAGTATCTACGAGTCACGATATAAACCACAAAGTGTTGGCGAAAACTCCGCGGAACCAATTTCAGGACAAACACATGGCACCATAATCTGTGTTCAATAGATTGGAGAAAAGCATAGTTTTTTTGCTGCGTAAACTTCGGAAGTCTTACGGGAGTCCTTTACACAAACTTGTTGCAAAATGATATTGAGCAGTTACTGAAAGAAGTTTCTGTAGTCACCACAACGTATATTATCAACATGAGCGATTCCCCTAAATGTATCAGTCAATTAAATATCATTTCTTGACCACCTAAATCCCCGGTCATTTTTCCAACTTTATTAAAACAATGTTTATAAAAATGGATGAAGAGTGAAGTTTCCCAGAACAAAATTAATTCTTGTAAGGAATTAGTTGCTGGAATTTTAAACGTCGCTGCTCCCATTAAAGAACGACGATACTACAGCTTTGGAAGAGCTACACGTGCTTCTGTTAAGATCGCTATGAGAAAGGCCGTTGCTAAAGCGGTGGTTTGGATCAACTCCAAATTATGTGCAAATATGAATTGTTCCCTTATTTACGGAACCCGCTACATCGAAATACCGTTGCTTTGATATTAGATTTCCAAATAAAAGTTTCTTAACGAATGACATCAGGTTTATCTCTAGTATGCTTCATCACAGCCTTCGTCTTATTATATATCGTATATGGGTGATTGGGATTACTACAACTCTCTGCGTAACTACACCACTGCAACTGTGAGGAACGAAAAACGTGCTTATTTTGCTTATTTGACAGAACAAGGAAGTTCTAAACAGATATGGAATGAAGAGGACTTGGGGTTATGACGGATGGCAGAGCGTTGTCCTTACTATCGCATTTTCAGGACTCTGGCCGTATTAACAGTTATTTTTATATTATTATGTTGGGTGACTACCGATGTAATAGGTCTCAAAGGGTAAGGATCGGTGATGAGTTGTCTCACACAGTTAGAGTTTTGAATGGTGTACCACAGGGTTCGGTGTTGGGGCCTCTCTTGTTCTCTTTGTGCACATGTGCTGATGATATACAGTTTTATTTGTCCTTTCATGAAAATGATAAGAATCTAGCACAGATGCGTATCAATGAGGACCTGCCTACTTTATTTAATATTGCAACGTTTCATAAACTAAAGATTAATCCTGATAAGTCTGCGTGTGTATGTTTCGGGAGAGGGAGGGTGGTCACAGGGCTGAACTTGGATCTTGATATTAATATAAATGGTTCAAGAATCAATGTTGTTAAGGAAGCAAAATGCCTTGGTTTAACAATAGATAACACCTTCAGATTTAAAACTCAAATTAAAAATTGAAACAACAGTTATGTGATTCTCTTGTGCTGTCTCACTTCAACTTTTTGACGCCTGTGTATCATCCAGCTAAAGATGTGCTTACATCAAATCGTATACAAAAAGTTCAAAATAGTTGCCTTAGGTTCATTTTTGGAATCTGGAAGTATGACAGAGTCTTACACAAACTTAAAGATGTTGGATGGCATAGAATGAATACCTGCCGAGAGTTGCACAGTTTGGTTTTGTTTCATCAAATCGTCACAACACACATACCGACATACTTGTATGTGAAAATTACTTTTAAAAGGGTGAACAATGCTACAGACGAGATTAAAATATATCCACCAGAATACAGAACCTCTTTGTTTCCCAGGTCTTTTACATATCACATATATACGTCATAACGTATATATATGTGATATGATGGTAACTATGATCAAAAAACTAAATATCAATAATTTCAAAAAAACACTATATATAAAGATAAATTTCTGGAGCAATGTGCAGCCCTGTCATAGTTAATCATATGAATGCATTTTTTTTAACGATCAGAGCAAGAGAGGGAAGAATATTCGAGAAATTGTATTGTCGTTGTGGTGGGACGCGTGTAATATAATTAATATTAAGTTTATGTTTGTGGTAAGGTTGCTTGAACAGATTTTATCTGGAGTCCGCCTATTGCACAATGCCATTTTTTTTCTTTTCTTTTTTTGTATTGTTAGGTTGTGTTGTTGTTTAAACATTCTAGTTTAGAGTATATCTACAGTATGGATACAATTTTTGTTTATATCTTGTATTACCGCTGTGTTGTTGAACAGTAATCTTGAACGCTTGATCTAAATCAATTAGTTCGTTGGTGTATATCATGATCTTTATAACGCCTCATAAATAATAGTCAAACAATCCCATCTCGTCCAAAACACTTATTTTCAAACACATTATCTAAACGTTGGCGATCTAAACAATTAAAATGCGACCATGCGCCATCCTGAAGAAACCAGTATGAACTGATTTTGCAGAAAAACGAGGTAATCATTTTAGTTAATCGATTTGGCAACACACAGGGGATAATAAGATTTTGACAGCCCAGATATGAATACAATGCAGAAAAGTTTGGAATTTCAGCGTGTTGTAGGAACCATCGGCAATGTTGTAAACGGAAAGAATAGTCTTAAAGTTGTACTTTTTGTACATGGAAAGGTCCACCATCCCCACTTTAACGTGTTTGCAGTGCATCACTATCTCGCGCAAAGAAGATTACTTGCGGCCAATTTTTGTACAATCGATTTGTAGCAGCAGATATCTCGCGTACTTCCTCATAAATTAACAACATATCAACGTATTCAGTTTTAGAGCCATTTTTGCAGTGGCAATTAATGCAAGGCCGTTTCTGTGTGTGCGTTACTGGTGTAACAGTCAGATGAAACTGAATGACGACCTTTTAAGATTTTCAATCACTTTTTGAAAATAAAATCACAAGAGCGTAAACACCTTGTATAAGGGAATTGAATAGTTATTTCTAGCGTATACAAAATCTATTACCTTAGAGGTATTCAGGAAGGATATTTTGGCATTATCAATGGAGTACCTAGGCATAGCCTTTAATCTCCTCTGGTGAGACTAACTCTATATCACCGTGCACCAACTTTTAGTGATTTATCTCATGATACCCAAAGCCCATCCAATGCGGTCTAAGGGATACATCTCTTCCGTAGAGTCAGATCAATTCCTCGACTTCTAGATTACTCCCGTATTTAAGGAGATAAAGCCAAACCCAGTTTTCCAGAGTATCGTATATTATGCTGGTGTAGTACTAGAACGTGAAGTTGATTTGAGTACCAGAACTGTGTTGACTTTAATGTAGACTGTACCCGTAACTTCCACACAGTGGACCAGACCATACCAGTCGCCGACATGGTTACACATTTTACCCGTGTTTACTTTGTTTCTTCACTATGACATTCAGAGCACTGAGAAGAAGAAACAACAAACATATATACCAATCAATAAAATGTGTACTCTCAGTAATTTTGTAAACGTTAAAGAGCCTTCTGCAGCCCAAAAAAAATTTATTTTAGTTAGACATAATGTGTTCGTAAACTAGAGCGAAAAGCCATATAAACTTTATAGTGTCTACACTGTTCATGTCCAAAACGTGTAAACTTGTGATATTATTTTACGCATTAATCTTTTGTGTATACATACACTTCTTATCGTTTAATTTATATTCTTATTCATGCACTTTGTATATTATAAAAAGGTATAATGAATTATCTATTTAGTTGAAGCCTCTCGCTGCATATTCTACCATAAGTCTCTATTCATGCCGGATTAAGGCGAAGCTATTGTGTTATAGCGGATGATGTGTAGTTGTAATACATTTACAACGCTTAAGAGGCTCAGTATTGTCGCGGGTTAATTTCCCAGGCGTGATTGTATTATAATCCTTGATAATATAATAAAATTAGAAATGAAAATAAAATTATTAAAATATTTTAAATCCTTTAATTTAATGTAACAATTTATCATTTAACTTAACGAATGGTCTTCCTCGTTTGAAACAGAAGAATAAATTATCATCATAACGGAAGTTAACACCGGAAGTACAAAGATTCCGGATGCTCGTAGATATTTATTACTTCATTAGTAGAGACCCTTTTACGGCTTCAATTAATTGCTGGACTTTAACTTAATTTACTTAATTTACTTGAATGTTCGAGTTATAATTACTAAATTTATTTTTTTTAATGCAACATTTATTTCCTTCTTGACCGATTTATTATAATACTTAATTAATGAATGCTTTTTGTGTGTGCGATAGAACAGAAAATTTGTGTATGTAAAAGTAAAGTTTTCGCTATAAACTACCTGACTGATGACATATATACTCACTATCATGCTCCGTGCAAGCTGAATAAGAGACAGAACGCAATCAACGTATGGCAAATGATTTGTTATCAAGCGACGACGGACGGCACAAATGGCATATGAGAACATGATGGAACACCGTAGGTGACATAGACATGTATGTATGCTGATGAGTCGTAGTTCGCTGTGTCGGCTCTGTCTCTGTGTTAGTTAGTTAATTGTATTCAACCAGGACATTGTGTATGCAAGAATGGGATTGTGGAGGTTTATTACCGGATTTGATCATAAGGAAGTGCGCTTAATGTTGTGTATGGAATTTTGTATGTTTAAAGTAACACATGAATATTCTTTTTTTGGAAATTTTTTCTTCGTAATCATTATTATTATAAAATAATAAATATATTTATTATACAAAAGTTGCTCTTGTGAAGAGATTTCCAAAAATATTGTATTTGTAATGTTGTATGTTGTGTAGTATAAGGATGGGTAAAACTGTAAAAAGTAAGTGTGGCACGGTACAAAGATACCAATGGTTATCTTTGGGTGTATATAGACGATGGATGCACGGCGCTCGCGCTGCAAAAACACCTTAACATCTCACACGAAACGACACAAAAGGACCCGAAGTGTATGTAAACTTACGTATGTGGACGGCACCGAATGGCTCGAGCCCTCACGGGACACCGAGCTGTACCCTATTGCGCCCTGTGTGCGAATAACCGCGCCTCAGTAACTGTGTCATGTCAGGAACACAAGACAATACTCACTCCCCATTGTGTACACTTATGCAGCCTCAAATACCTGATGGGCCAACACTGTATAGTACTATACATCGACGGCATATAGTCCGTACCGAGAGCGACGATCGATGCGTCATCAGTTTTCCTCGGCAAGGTTTAAACACTAAATCAACGTGCATTGATTGATTCAACTTGAACTGTCTATTTCGAGGGGTCAAAGGGCGGCATGTGGTCGCCTTGAACGGCTCTGTATATGTTTAACACTACGAGAGCACGTTACCGCACCTTACAGTTATCCACGCCGCTCTTCATCTAGTTTTGAACCAAATGGATCGTTATCTTTGGCTAAAATGAAAATTATAAGCTTCAAAATTGATGACGCACCTATCATCCTTCTTCGTATCGCGCCTTTTGCATTAATATTTTTTTACGAATGTGTATCGCACAATTTTTGCTAGTTTATAAACCATTACTGAAATTATATTTTTTTTAATTTAATGGATTACCATGATGCAGACTTACAAACTCCTTGAAATTACTCGAAGTAATTAGAACCGACGTAATAACAACTTTGTATAACTTGCAACGAATTCTGAGTTCTTTGATTTTTAAGTTGTTAAAGGGGAAAGGGAAATTGCGACAGCAATTAACTCGACTCTTTGAACGGCCCCTCGGTCCTTAAATCGAAAACTATATTTACTTTTCACGGGATCTTCCCATTTCCGTCGTACCTTCCTCCATTTGAGTAGACGCTTTGTCCTGTTTACCGTGAGGCGTCTTCATTAGATTCAGCCGATAATTACGACGCCGTATTTTGGGGGATTCGGCTAAGCCAAAGCTCGTTCCATTGTGAGCGTCCCTTTGAGTGCAACCTCCCTCTTATTGTAACCAACTTTACGGGGCGTATCCCCGGTGATAAATTGTTGTTATCCTTTTCTCGTTATACTTTGTTTGTTTTATCTTGTTGGATAATTTCAGCAATGGTCTATTTACTATATTTATCTTTACTAATGAAAAGTGTACACATGAAAGTAGTGGACATAAAAGTATAATTATAAAAATTTAAATTGAAATTTGTAAGTAATTGAAGTCTTGTTAATTATTTAGAGTGAAAAGTTAAAGTTTATTTACCGTCGGTGGTGAGAGATTAACGGTGGATCCTCTTCTTTCTTGGGGGCCTATGCTGGAATGACGTCTAATTGGAAGACCACCTCCTGGGGTCCCTCCAGGAGATGAGGCGCATGATGGTGCTATGCGGATCTTTGGTGTCATCAGCGTGTTATCTGAAAGTCTTCGATTTGGAAATGCGTTTACTACCCTTAAAAAGTTGCTGTCTGGAGAAGAAGGTGATGCTCCAAACCACCAACCACCTAATTACACATTTAAAAGTTATTTCGTTTAATTATTTTCAAGTTGAAATTAAAATACCCGCCGAATTTTTTCTAGCCATATCTTCAGCACTCGAAGTTTTTCTTTGTTCTATCCTAAGATTAGGAATATTAAATGGTGGGACATGCATGTTATCGGAACTGTATTGATGTCGCAATGGTCTATGTCTTTCCGGACTGGGTAAAGATAAATTATCAAGTTTTAGTTTATTTCTTTGATTGCGATCGATTTGGTCCAACATATCTTGAAGAACTTCCAATAATATCGTAAATTGTTCTAAATTCAATGACGGATTAACCGTTTGTGGAAGAAGTGATGGCATAACTTTAGTGGCCATTAAATTTACTGAAAGCCCGTACTTTTTATCGCTTAACATTAATCGATAAATATCTGAAAGAAAAAAAAATTTAATCCAATTAAATTATGTAATCCGATATTGATTTAATTAAGAATTCTCGTTAAAGCGGTAATCGCTACGAGGATAACCTTTCCGAAGTAAGTATTCCGAGAATGAATTTACAGTTAGTGAATCGTATAATATAATTGGCAAATCACTTACTTACGACCCTCAGTATAATTTGAGGATCCGATAGGCGAATATCAGAGAGAAGTGGCAGTACTTCATCGATTATCTGGCCTTTGTCCAATCGATCTAGTGTCCTTTCGACACAAGAGAGTACGTTTGATACGATCTTCATATCCGATTGGTTCTTCTCGTAAATAACCTTTGTTTTCGGTAGAATCATTCTTCGAATAGCCGCCTCGTCCAAGTACTCCGATACGTTTGTAACTGCCACTAAAGCTGCACTCTGGAAACACAAACGTACATTTCACTTAAAATGGGAGGACGTAAATTATTATGGTCGTTCGATTCCCAAGCGAACAGTTTAGGTGCCGAGATACATGACCGTAAACCGTGTAATTTCATCATCATTGAAATCGGTAAACTTAGAAGGAATATCCCTTCCGCCTGTTGCTTACTCCATGCACATAAACTACTAGCGCTAATGAGAAATTACGTTGCTGTCTAAGTTAAAGGTAAAGTTAGCGAACTCCAAGTTGGATGAAGGATAATAGAAGCTTGGAGAAAATTACAGAAGAGTAAGTGTGGATCCAGGCAGCGAAAAACTCTCTTGGGAATGCGGATGCAAAAAGGAACTATAAAGTTAACTCTTTTTTATCGTTTAGTTTAAAAAGTAATAAGAATATAAAATTCCATGAAATGAGAATGAAATTTCCTTTTTTACTTACTTGAACTTGAATTGTATTGCTTTCAAAGGCATTGTATAACATTGGTAGAACTTCAGTGCGAAAATCATCCCTCGGCGTTTTCTCCAGGATGAGATGAAGATTTTCTAAAAGGGTCACGCTCGCTTGAACGGTCTTTGGCGTTGAAAAGACATTCCTGTAAGATTAATTAAACCCAAGGCTATATTTCTAAAACAACCCTTTTATATTAAATATTACCTGAAGGACGGAAGTATTATACTTTCATATTCCTCTAGAGTCGATTCCTGAATTAGGAACAAAACCGGCTGTAACACCGCCGCTAAAACTTCTTGCGTACGCATTTCTTGTTGTAAAGACGGCCAAACATGTTGATACCATAATTTCTTAAAATAACAAGAAATTAATTTAAAAATAAAAAAGAGGAAAATACATTGGAGATGAAAAAAAGTAGACCATGCATTAAACATAAACACAACTAGAGCTTGTACTGTTATAAAAGTTGTCCTTCGTCTAGTAATCCTAGAGATAGACGGGTACTTACCTTTGGGATGTAAGGCAGTGCTTCCTTCAAAGTGTTACGATAGAAATGGGATTTCTGGGATGGATCCTTCATGTTGATGACGTCCAAAAACTGTAGAGCGTGTACGGCCGGGTCGCTGTCGGTACAGTAATACATATTTATGAGCTTCGGGACGTATAATATCAAGGGGAAATGAGGGGGTAAATATAAAATCGGAAAGCTTTTAAAATTAAGATAAATATAACCGTGATGAGATTCGCCCCGTTCTCGAATACTTAATTAACACCGGTACTAAAAATATCTTGTTTGCAAACTATATTAATTTAAAATCTTTATGCTAACAGACAGAGCGCTTAAGTAACGTCGGACTCCCCCATCCATTTAGTACGCTTCCATTTTGTTGGGTGAGAGAGAACCTTCAACGCAAACAGTACTAGGGCCACACTAATAGAACCATATTGATCAAGTACTATCCTTAGGCAAGATTCAGCTGGTAGGCGATTGATACTGATGGTTAGCATAATATTATTACAAAGAAGGTCTGATCACAAAGACCGTGGGAGCTTCGGAACCGGGGATGTAATAACGTCGAACTGTAGAAATAAGATTACTCGAGATGGCAGATGCGTTCTAAATGAAGAAGGCTTTTAGAGTTTACGATATGAGACACTCGACGACCCTATTACATTATTAAAGTAAAGTGCCAAATCTAACACTTTTTTTTCGTTGAATATTCAAATTGATTGAATTTGTGTTTTTAACGACTGTTTTCAAAACGACTTTTTTTTATTAAAATACACAAAAATAAATCATTTAGAAATTGAATTAAACTTAGCATTAAATGAATATTAAGTGCTGAATGATGCTTAATATACTATTATTTTTATTTCTTCCTGAGTACTTCTAACGCCATTCGGGACTTATTGAATTAGCCCCATTAAAGGGCATTTGGTTTTATATCCTCCGAGGGGAATCTTCTTCGGTTTGCGGTAATTCTATTTTGAAATAATTCCATTACTAATATTTCCAATGGGGATAAATTCTTTTCAATTTTCTCTATATGTTTGTAATCGCTGCTTATTTAATTAAAAGTAGCATTCGTGATTATTAAAAGTGTTATGACAATAAAAATAAGAGTTATTGTTTTTTAATGTTATCCAGTTAATACGCATAAATCTTTTATTAATTGATAATCGCAGGAACCATTATTAATGCAATTATCAATGCGCCACCTTATCTTCTTGTTGTGTAAGCAATAAAGTAAACAATTATAATGTAAATACATAAGTTGTGCGATTGTCTACACATTATGTGGAGTTTACTTATGTATTAAATGCAGCTATTGAAAGGAATCCTAAATCGTTTCTTCATTTGTGTCTTCTAAGTATCCTTCCCGTATAATAAAATGATGAAAAAGGCAGAGTTTCAGCCGAGGTGACTAAAATTGAGGTGAATAAAATTTGTTAAAATCTGTTTTGTATGTTGGTAATTTAGACGATCTGGCTAGGCTGCTTAGGCAACTATATAATTAAGCATCATGTCGTTGTTCATCGCATCTATATTTGTAAACGTTCTGTCTTAGCACTCCATGTTGTACTATAAATATGTGTATAAATAGTAGTCCAATGAATATAGAAAATTTACAAATTGTATTTTAGCATCACTTTGTTTATTTATAAAAAAATGATTAAACTATACTATTATTTATTTACCATTTATTGCCACAAATAAGAATACAAAATTACATAAGATACACAAGAAGAAAAAACAATGAAAAAAAAATAATAAGAACAAAAATATATACATAAAATCCCATTGTCGATTGTTAGTCGAGCAATGGATAAACTTAAACTTAAACAGTATAAGCAGTATCAGCAAATGGATCATTTTATCGCACAAGCGATCTCTGCCAAATGACCCAACAGAACAAACAAAAATAATATTTACTGAATATGGCAAGTAGTGATAATTAGATAGTATTAACATTTATCACCAAATAAGATTAAGCAAGAAAAAGAGAAAAACAAAGAAAAGGCACAAAAAGAGAGAGAGAGCGGCTAAAAGATACCAAAAGAATCTGCCGGATATCAGTTGCCAACAAGTGAGAGCAGTTGAAGAGAGGAAAAAAAGAAAGACAAAGAACAAAGAATCAGGAAGCAGCCAGTTGAAGGGAAAGCAAGTGGCTCTTTAAAACATGTCTAAAATTAGCAATGTTAGAAATATTACGAATTTCAGAAGGCAGTCCATTCCACAACGCAAACTATACTGTAAATTATCTGTGATAAATTTCAGTGCTATGAACAGGAAATGTAAGAATAGTATCAGAACGTGAACAAGTAGCAAGCTCACGAGTTGATAATTGCAGGAACCTATCTGATAAGTACTTTGGGGTGCAGTTATGAAGGATTCATAGAAAATATTTATATTATACTTATATAGAAGCATTACTCCGCACTATTTTACCGACCAAATTGAATGCAGCACCGCCAAGGAGATTGTAATAGAAGTAATTTTAATAAACCGCGAAATTTGAATGTGTTCGGTACAATGCCTGAGTTCAATTATACTCAGGTTTCCACTTGTTAGTTTAATGGATACATAGAACACAATAGTTTATTAAATAAATTTATTTTTTTCTCTTTAAAAAAATATGACCGGCTTGAACAGCCAATGTGTTCTTAGAATTTAGTTTTCTAGTTTTACCTTTTATATGTTATTTATCCTTTTACAAAAGTTGAACAAAATTAATTTTACACACTTATTTATAATAAAGTTTGTGATGTCTTCTTTATGGCAAAGAAATGTGAAGTTAACATTATGCCTGACATTATGATATATGACACTGACGTCGATTTCTGGTATATATAAATAATTACATTGCAAATTGTATATGGCAGCGCCATCTAGTGGATTGTTATAGTAAATTAAATTCCGTCTTTATTTTATACCTATCAAGAAATCATAGCCTAAGGATTTTAAATAAAATGGTTAATAAATGAAAGGATCTGCGTCCCTCACAGGTTAACATCCGAATGTAATTGCGATACGGCGTTACATGCTCAAATCTATTTTGGTCAAATATGAATCGGCTGCAATTATTTTGTAGCCGCTGCAATTTACTCAGAAGAGTCACTGAGATCGGGATAAACCGCGTCCGCATAGTCGAAGTGAGGAAATATAAGTGAGTAGCAAAGATTACGACGGACCACCGGAGGAAGAGAGTAGCGTAGTCTTTTAAAGAGTGGAAGCAAGCATAAACTTTTCTGCAAACATGTTGAATTAGCAGTTTCCAAGACAATGCAGAATCCATAAGGTCTGCAAGATTTTTAACTGTGTCAGAAAACCGTATGATATTTCCATTCAGCATCAGATCACTGTAGGTAGATGGATTAATCTTACCAAGTAATTGACGAGTACCAAACACAATAGCTTGCGTTTTAACTGAGTTCAACTTAAGTCCGTATATCCGAGACCAGTTCAAGACCTCAGATAGGTCGTTATTAAATCGCACAATAGCTTCCGGAAATTCAGCAACAGTTGTAGTAGTATATCTGGATGTCGTCAGCATACAAATGATAATTACACCAGATATAATTAGTAACACTATTAACGAACAAAGAAAAAAGTAACGAACCCAATATACTGCCCTGAGGAACACCACATTTGATTGCACAAGCAGAAGAAATTGAAGAGTTAGCGCTTACGCACAAGAAGCGATGGGAAAGGTAAGATTGAAACCAAGAAACACAGGAGGGAGTGAATCCGTAGGCAGAAAGAGACGCCAAAAGAAGGCTGTGGTCGACAGAATCAAAAGCCTTGCTGAAATCGAGCAGTACTAGCACAGTAACACATCTGTTGTCGCAGGCATATCTAATATCATCAGTAATTTTAATGAGGGCAGTAGTTGTACTATGCCCACTGCGAAAACCCGATTGCAACTCATTGTGTAAATTAAACCTCTCTAGAAATCCTTGAACCTGTAAATAAACTAAGCGTTCAAAACCTTTTGATAGTAGGGACAGGTATCAGTAAGTATCGTAACGAACAATTAATTAACAACAAGTATAAAATTTATAATAAATGTTCAAATATTTCCCCACCCACTTCAATACATTTATTAACCATTCTACTAAAACTTTCTTTACATCCTAAAAGGTTTTCTTGGCTACTATTTCTGCATGCATTTCTTATTCGCTCTTTCATGTTTTCTGACGTAGTCGGTACTTTGCGATAAACATTATCCTTAAGGACGCCCCACAAAAAGAATCAAGAGGTGTTAAATCAGGTGATCTGGCAGGCCAGGAAATTGGACCTTTCCTTCCAATCCATCGCCCAACATAATCCCGATCTAAAGCTTTACGTGCAATATTTGAAAATTGTGCTGGACACCCATCATTTTGCAGCCACATATTTTATCTTTCTTCCCTGCTCAAATCTACAAGTAACGTTGTTGACGTCATCTAAAAATTTCGGTACTTCTCCCCATTCAGCATACGAATAAAGTATGGACCCATCAATTTATCACCAATTATGCCACACCAACCGCTTGGTCGGTTAATGCCGTTGATGTTCTACTTCACGCAACCATCTCGGATTTTCAACGCTCCAATAGTGCATGTTATGTTTATTGACTTGTCCTTTGTTTGTAAAAGTAGACTCATCTGAGAATAGCATGTTACCAAAGAAATTGACGTCCAACCGCATTCGTTCTTGTGCCCATTGAGAAAATATTAATCGATTTTCAAAATCACCTCTATAAAGCTGTTGATGAAATGAAATGTGGTATGGGTGATACTTGTTGCGCTTTAATATTCTTAAAATGCCGGTCTTCGATATTCCGGCGTCAATTGCAAGTCGTCGAGTGCTAACTTGAGGATTTTCCTCAACACCAGCTAATACCGCAATTTCCTTTTCTTCCGCAGTTATAGTTGCTCGCCGAGTTCTTTTTCTTGATTCCACATTTCCAGTGTTAGTGAAATCATTCACAACTTTGTAAAAGGTACTTCTCGAAGGCGTATTTCGATCAGGAGAACGTTCTCGATAGAAAGCTATACTATCAGCAACTTTTCTGCCACTTTCTCCATAAATAAAAATCATTTCGACTTTTTCTGCCACATTTAGAGTATCATGATTTAA